TCCTCGAAGTGGGGACTATAAGGAATACGCGCAGTGTGTTGAGCACACACGTCTCAGTGCTGAGGAGAAACACAGACCGAGATCGGCCCCTGCACTTCTCAGCCTAACCTTGTTCACAGTCGGCCTTAGCTTGCAAAAGTTTTATAGCAGAGACCACCAAACTGGGGTGCGTCTGAGGTTGCTCAGAATGTGCGGCCATTTAGCTGAATGTCTCCTTTAGCTGAGAAAAGTCTAGATGACTTCTGCGCTGTCTTTGGAAGTCTGGGGAGCAGGGAGGAGAGGGAGAGTTCCGTGATGGTGGCCCCAGGCCCTGGAGAATGCTACCTTGGACAGAGCGGGAACAAACCCATGAAGGCAGTGGCTAAGTCCTGCCTGCATGTGGTGTTTGACAAAGTGACTTCGCTTCTTCCAATGAGGTCCCTGAAGTTGGGAGACGGAGATGCAGTCAGAATTCCTTTAAAGTCACAAAGGGTTGGAGGAAGATCTGGGGGTCCTTCTCTCCCGTGGGTCCATGGTCTGTGACTCAACCTTGGGCCAGGGCGTCAGCTCCTCCTGCACCAGGGACTCCCTATGCAAGGGCCCCTTGACCTTGTCCTCAGGAAAGGAGGCCATGCAGAGGGCCAGCAGAGGCCCGCTCTCCCCTTCCACATTCTGGGGTCACTTTGAGGGAATTTGCTCACAGTGACAGGGTGGCACTTTATGAAGCACCCAGCCGGGCCCTCTGAACGAGTCACTGGTCATAAAGAGTCCTGGCAACAGGCCCGGGGGTTGCACTAGTCTTGGAAGTGCAGAGTCTTGAGGTAGGAGCCCGGCTTCCTTCGTGTGTGGTAGGCAACGCTGCAGAGGTCCAGAGAGTGGACCTCAGGTCCCAGCCCACTGTCCCAGCTGTGCCTTTGAGCTCTTTCCTCATTTTAAAAATTGAAATAAGAACATCGGAGATGCAGAAGGACCTAAAAATAGCATTCAGGGGTGTTTACCTTGTTCCAGGCTTGTACGAGTTCATTCACTGAATCCCCATGGTGACCCGTGAAGGGGGCACTGCCATGAACACAGCACACGTTTATAAATGGGGGCACTGAGGCATGGAAAGGTTAAGAACCATGTTCAAGTCCAGCCAGTTAGTGTGTGGTGGGCTGGGGTCAGTGCTATTTCGTTCAGATCACTACATTCCACTGATTTTAAAACACGCTTTTCTCCACGTTTTACTACCTCTGCATTCCCAAGCAGGTGAGTCTGAAGTCTTAGATTCAAATAACCGTGACATGAACTTGAAGCAGACTGGTTCCTGAGTAAGTATTTCAATTCCAATCCTCATTCCTCTGCTCTTTACTAACAATGATGGCTATTAAAATTAAGGGTTGATTTTGCACCTGCTGTGGCTGGTGGTCAGCCGAGCACAGTCGGGCCTCTGAGCTTCACACACTCTCACGTGGTCCCCTCTCCCCTCTCTCGGGCCTCTCTCTCCCACCAGCCCTCCCGATGACGCTGAGACCCACCCACGTGTGCAGGCTCACTTGCCTGGGAACGCCCTCCGTGTGAGGCCCTCCTGGCTCACTGGTTAACCCCTCTGCCCACTCACAGCACTGGGACTTGAGGCTTCCCCCAAATCCTTCTCCTGGATTCGAGCTCTGTGAGAGAAGGCAGTTTAGTCTGGTTTTGTTTGCTGCTGTCTACCTAGTTTCTAGAACAGTGCCTGGGATGGGGTGGCCCTCGGCAGATATGAATGAATGAATGAATGAATGAGTGAGGACTCCCTGGAGACCCTTGTTTGGTGTTTCGGGAAGAGCCCCTCCGAGAGAGCTTGCACACCCTCAGAAAGGGGAGGCCAGGCGGAGGTTACAAGGCCTGCCTTTGGGCCTTCCCTCCTGCAAAGTCCAGGGGCGTGGACCAATCTCTGGGGCAGACACACAGCAGCTGGCAGAATGCGAGAGAGCATATAATGGGGCAGGTGTTTGGCGCAGTGGCTTAACCCAGCACCTAGGACTCCCGCATCCCCCATCAGAGCACCTGGCTCAAATCCCAGCTCCTCCACTTCCAATCCAGCTTCCTGCTAATGCAGACCCTGGGAGGCAGTAGGTGAGGGCTTGGGTCCCTGGGTCCCTGCCACTCATGAGGGAAACCAAACTGAGTTCCTGGTTCCTTGCATCAACCTGGCCCAGCCCTGGCTATTGTGAGCCTTTGGGGAATGAACCAGCCCAGGAATGATCTCCTTACCTCTTTCTCTCTTTAATAAAATGAAAATTAAAAAGAATTTTTAAATGAGGAAAGAAAAACCAAATGCAAGTGTGAACATGAACTAGATCCTACTTGAAAAAAAAAAAAACTATAGACAATTGGAAATTTTGAAATTGAGTGAGCTATTAGGTGCTTTTAGGAAATTTCCCTGTTAATTCAGCTCTGATAATGGGCCTCACGTTAAGCTGCATCCCTTTGGGGATGAGTAGTGAAGTGCTTAGGGAAGAAATGCCATGTGCCTGAAATCCCAGGAAATGGGTGCCCTTCATCGACGAGACTCCCCCGCTCTGAGCCACCCCCCACCAGTGTTCGGGCTTCTTTCCTCTGATAACGGAAGACCTTTAGGTGGGAGAAGGTGATCCAGGCGTGACTGCTGTGGTAAAATCAGGACTCACTGGCAACATTCGCATTTTCACCTGGTTCTCCGAGCGTGATATTGGTCTGAACATGATCTGGATTCCCAAAATAATAAGACTGGGGCGGTGGCAATTCAGCTTCGGTCCGGTCCCATCGTGCTAGGTCCCTTTGGTCTCTGGCTTCACTAGCGGAATAAATAACCAATTAGTCGGGACAGCCTGTGACTGTTGTCATCCCTCTAGCTCCCTCTTTGGTTTTCTTTATTCAGCATTAATGATTAATTCATCTCCTGTTTCACCTGTGGTTTCAGAGCTAATGACAAGCAAGTGGTCTCAGCTGTGTTGCACAGAAGACACCCACGTCCAAGGGCAAAACTCCAAATGGCAAAGAATCTTGAATACGATCCAGGCTCCTCCGTTCCCAAATTTCAGTATCCTTCCCGGGGAAAAGTTTGGCATTCTTTCTGGAAACAGATCGCTGCTTCTTGTTTTTGTTTGTATTTTCCATTTCAAAAAGTCTGCAGCTCATGGCACAGCGATTAGAAAACCAGCGAGCTGGTGACATGCGGGGGCTGGAGCCGCCTCCGGCTGTGGCCAGTGGAAAGTTACAGGGTTTTGCTTTGCACTGTTGGTGCAGTCCAACTTTGCAGCCTGTATCTGAGTGCAAACAACAGGGATTTGGACAAGCCGAGCTGCCCTTCACCCTGGAAGGGGTCAAAGCTCTCGCCTCCTAACAGAATGCATTCCCCTTCATCTCCTAAAAAACAAAAAGTCCGTTTCAAAGGCAGCCGAGGTAGGGCTGTGTGATTTGCTGCGGGAAGTTTGGAAAAGGTTTCGTCTCTAAAATCCAGGCTCCCCACGAGTTCTACAGCTGGGACTTGAAAGGAAATGAGCTGGGGGCCCAATGTTTGTCTTCTTCCTGGTTTTTCTCAATGAAGGGAAAACTGTCTCAGCAGGAACGCACCACATTTCAGACGTGCCCTGGGGTGTGTGCGCTGCTGCCTGGTGGGAAGGTGGGAGGGCTTAGTCCTGCCCTCCTCTGCCTGGGGAATCTGAGGAATCTGTTCCACTTTAAAGGAGAAAAGCCAAATGGCCTTTCAGAAAAGAAATAAGGTTGCGGTAGGGAGCAGAAGTGACCGACCTGGAAGGTGCAAGGCTGGAGACCACGGGCAGCACCTGCGCTGTGCTGCCAGTAATGTGACGTTTAGAGTCACGTTGACCCCGCATCCACTGCACAGGGCTGGCCTGGGGGTCTCCAACCCCTTAGGACGTGTTCTCCTTCTCAGACCTTTGCCCTGTAATTGTGCTGGCCAAGCCCTCTCCCCTGGTGGGAGACCCTCCCAGGGGCAGGTGGGTGGGACTATGCCAGGGGTCTGAGCCCCCCACCCCACCCCGGGAAGAACCCTCGGCTCCCGTGGGATCTTGGGGCACAGCCACGGGGCCAAGGCAAAGGGCCAACCCTTCAGGCTCAGTTCTTGATCAGCTCTTTGTCAGGAACAAGAAAAAGGGCAGCACTTAGTTTGCTTGTTCTTTTCACCTGAGAAGAAATGTGACGACTGAAAACAAGTGTCAGGCAGGAGGGCAGCACCTGGCTGAAGGCCGCCCGTCCCCACGTGTCATGGCTCACAATGAGTGCAACAGCCAGACCTCACTCCCGAGCCATGAATTCCTAGAGAGGAACAGCCATTTCTTTAATAATTAAAAAAAGATTTATTTATTTATTTATTTATTTGAAAGAGAAAGTGAGAGAGAGAGATTTTCCATCTGCTAGTTCACTCCCCAAATGGCTGCAACAGCCAGGACTGGGCCAGGCCGAAGCCAGGAGCTTCATCCGGGTCTCCTAAGTAGGTGTTGGGGCCCACCCTCCACTGCTTTCCCTGGTGCGTTAGCAGGGAGCTGGATTGGGACGTGAACCAACATCCATATGAGATACCAGTGCTGCAGACAGCAATTTAACCTGCTACGCCACAGCGTCTGTCCTAGGCCATTTCTTTCTAATCCTTAAGAAAGCAAAATGACAAAGTGGCCTGCAGAGGGAGAGAAATGGGTAGAGATTTAAGACGGGATGGCCAGCATGGAGTTCTGTTGGGACCCAGGCCACACCCATGGTGGTGTGTGTGCTGTTGCTTGTGCGGGTGTGCATGCATGTGTGTGCGTGCACAGTTGTGTGTTGTAGCCATGACTTTGGCCTCCATCCCTGTTGCTCCCCAGCATTTAGGAGGTGAGGAGGAGCGTCCCAAGGAATGACTGGCGCTCACAGGTGAACACATGGGCAAGGTTGCAGAGAAGGAGATTGGTTCCAGATATTGCCCAAGAGCCCTAAGTCGGATGAGCCCAGGGTATATTTAATAGGCTCCATGGCCAGGTGACCTTGCTGGCTCTCGAAGCCTGTGCATGGGGCAGTGTGCTGCGCTCTGCCTGGGAGGAAGGAGTTAAGGACGGTGACAGCCTGGTGGGTCTCCGAGGGGAGGCAGGTGCTCACCTGGGCCGCCTGCTGCACCCCTGGGCCTCTGCACGCCGTGCACCCCCACCCAGTCCTGCTCAGTGTGTTTGACCAAAGGTGACGCTGTCTCAGTGCACTGAGGTCGTGCCCTCCCTCCTGTTGTGATCGATCATTTAATGTGACTTATCAGAAAGAGAAAGAATTGTTTACTTTTAATCCCTGAATCCCATAAAGGGAGAAGGGGAAAGGCCTAAAGGGCCAGACGCTCGGGGCTCGGGCCCAGGGTGGCCCCTGCGCAGGCCACGGAGCTGGGGTGAGAGGAGGGACCCTGGGCTGGCAGCAGCTGAGAACTGACCCCAGGTAAGTGCTTCCCGCCCATGGCGGGACCTTCCGGCTCTCCCGGGTGGATCAGGCTGGCCTCAGGGCGCTCGCCCGGGCATTGAAAAGACCCCAGGCAGTGCTGAGCCACCATCTGAATTTGTCTGCCTGATAATTCTGTTTCTTCAGAAAGCCCAAGGGGAGCTGGAGCTTTCTGGAAGGTTCTTCTCACCGCCTGGTGAGCTGGGGGGAGAAGGGGTACAGGAGGGGCCCAGAAGTGGTGTGGAATTCTGTTTGTACCCTCAAAGTGGCTGCACACAACGTCATATTCTGTGTTACGCTGGTCTGATTTAACGCCAACACCGGAGCATAGCAGTGTGCTGAGTGGAGCCAGGCTTGTGTGGCCAGGAGTCTCTCCCCTGCCCCCGGCCTGGGGCCAAACACTGTTTTCTCTCAGCCTCTCAAATGCCCATGTTAGGGCTGTGTCTTGCACAGGCCTCTCTCTGGCCCCTATGGTTCCCTCGGCCACACCAGAAACAGCTGGACACCTGCACAGCAGTGCCGCTGTTGCCTGGGAACGTAAACCTCACTCTGGTCTGTAAGCCAGTGCATGGAGGCCCCGACACCGCTGAGAATCTGCCCAGCGGTCCCGCTTCGCCCCTGGTCAGTGATAAACTCAGACCAGAGAGGCACGGAGGGGAGCGTCTCACATTGCCCCCTCTCGGTGAACTTCAATGAGAGAAGAAGGACTGCGTTCTCCTTGAAAATTCCCCCTGTGCTTTCAAAATGACAAGACTCCCGAGTGCGACGGTGACTTCCTTTGTCTTCGCTTAGGCTGGAACAGCCTGAAAAAATCAAACTGATGCATCTCACGCATCGATTTTACATGTTCTGCTTATTAAGACGTCTCCATTTTGGTGCTGATGGCTTAGGGCTGCAGCAAGGTGGCACTTCTCAGCTCCTAAGGCACTGTTTTCTCAGCCTGTGGCATTGATCTGGAATGGTTCTTAGGCCCTGGGAACACAATATTAAAGCAAAGACAAGCCGCTGATGTGCAGACCTGACCTGAGAAAGAACTGGGGGTGCTGGGGTGTGCCGGGTTCCTGAGACGCTAAGCCGTCCCTGCTGAGAGCTGTGGTGCACATGGGATACTGCAGGGTGACATATTTGCTGGAGGGGGGATTTCGTGGCGACTTCCTCCTCAATGCCCTTTCTTTCCCAGCAAGCCGTGACTAGCTGTTTTTCCATCCTCACGGGTTCAGTGGGAAAACTGCAGTGTAAATTGACCACAGCAGCCAGAGAGAGCAGTCATGGTTGGGCAGCCGAGGACATTGGATGGACGCTTAGCTGTGCTTCGCACTTAACCTCTCTGTGGGCTAAGAGGCAGGTATTCAGGAACTAAGGCAGGATGAGAGATAGTGGGAGATTTGCATGGATGCAGGGGGAGTGGAAAAGTAAGCAGGACCTCAAGGCCTCCCTTAGCTGTGGATCTGTGCCATTTGCGCAGGTCACCCTGATTTACAGCCCATATTTTTGCCTTCAGCATTTTTTTTAACCACAGGAAATAGCAGGTGTTATAATTTCCCATCCAGCTTCTATGTAGTATTAACTGGTGCTAGTTAAGGTTGACTGTTCATTTCAAAAATCCTGGAGCCCTTTTAAACCTGCGGAGTGAAGAATGGCTAAGTGAAATGTTTAAATATCCAAGAGTATGTGCTGGCATCGGCCACCTCCAATTTTTTTTTATTAGTGACGTGTTATTGGATGACATCTGAATAAAACAGAAATATGCTGCTTCCTTCTTTAAACTGCCTTGGACATTGTCAGACTTTAACCAGTCCCACAGAAACAATTGGAAATGCAATAAAAGACAGCAGACATTTCAGCCATGTCTGAAGATTGCTGACAAGACTGAGAAAACTGACATTCCATAAATGTGTATGTATTGATTGATGCAACAGCGCCATAACTGATGGCACTGCACTGCATAACAATGTATTTCACTAAATTTGCCGAGAAATTGGCCTGAGGCCCCTCTCTCAGCACAGCACTAACTTTCCATGCTGTGACAAGAGGTGTTTGAGTAGGGTGGACTCCACCCTCCCAATTTCAGAAGTGTTTTACAAGAAGGAATTTTTATTAGGGACTCCAGGAAAGAAAGCTTAAAAATCCTAATTATTTTTCTGATTGTAAAAGTTCTACCTGAATTGCAGAAATGTGTAAATGCACAGACACAAAAGGAGAAAAAAAATGAAACCATAATCCTTCCACCTGAAGATAGGCGTGGTTAATGTTTGATTTTTTTTCCAGGTACATATAAATTTTTCACTGAAAGGGACTCAGACTGTAAATGCTGTTCTGCAAGCTACTTCTTTGTTCAATGGCAAATCTTGAATTTCTTTCTGTGTGAACACTATTTTATTGTTTTGCAGCATCAGTTTCAGTGACTATGATGTGTCACAAATAAATCAGCCTTCTATAGCTGGACATCCAGGTCATTGCCGATTTTCATAATTATAAGCAATGCCATGAACAGTTTTATGGATAAGCCTCTATACAAGTCTATGACATTTCCCTGAGGCGAACTTCTGGGCCATAGAAATACAGGAGTACTTCAAAAAGTTCACGGACAATGGAAATACAACATGTTTATTTTGGTGCCAAAATTTTGAAGTCCATGCATAGTTTTCTCATCATATGCATTTTATGAACTTTTTGAAGACTCCTCATGGGCATAGATCTCATGTTATTTGTACTCAAATAAGCTTATCTCTCAAAATAATTTTTATATATTTTTATTTGAAAGGCAGAGACAGACAGAGCTTCCACTTGATGGCTCACTCCCCAGGTAAATCCTGGAACTCCATCGGGATCTACTGTGCGGGTGGCAGGGACCCAAGTACCTGAGCCGTCACTTGCAGCCTCCCAGGATGCATGCTAGCAGGAAGCTGGATTGGAAAGCAAAGTGGGCAGGACCCCAGTGAGGCACTCCGATCTGAGGTGCAGGCAGCCCCAGGCGCCAATCCAACCTCTGCGTCAAATGCCCATCCCCGCACTGATCACTTAATTCCATGAACTTCCAAAGGCTCATTTGGAGGGAGAAGTTTGGGGAGGTTTACCTGAAATGCATTAACTTCCTCCTCTCTTCTTTTCAAAGTTTATCCTTCCCTCCTCTGTCCTTTGCAGGTTATTCAAAACTCAGAGCAAACAGAGCTGGAACCCAATATGGGGCCTTCAACAAGCCCGTCCTCCCAGGATCCTTTTCACCAATGACGAGTTCTCCTCTCTCCGATTCTTCTCAGCAGAGCTAAGAGATTTCCAGAGCCCCACCGTGATGCTCACGACAGCCCTGGAACAGCCAGGAGGTGCAGAATTTCTGCTCTCCGTTCCTCGGACAAAGGCAAAGTCGGGGAGCTTGTCAGCAGGTGCAGAGGGAGAGGCAAGAGAAGGCAGTGCGTCCCACGAGTGTGTCTAGTGTGGCTGCATGGGGATCGTGGCAGGGACTAAGACCAACTGGAACTCAGACCACGCTCCTCCTCTGTGCCCAGCGACACTGCCCAGTGAGGATGCCACCAGCATGTCTAACTTTGTTGCCACCTCACAAATGACAGCATTACCCTGGGGGCGAGCCAGGGCTCTGGGCAGGAACCACAGGCAGTAACTCAACACAGCAAATGAGGGAAGGGGTATTTAAAAGAACAAAAAAGAGCAGGGTTCAAGGCCATCTCACAGCAGCCAAGTGACTTCCCCGCTGTGCTCATCGCTGCAGAACCCAGGTGAGTGGTGTCACGGTTTGCATGGGGATGGGGCACTTTAAAAAAAGTGTAGAAGGGGCCTATTCAGCTGTGAAAGACAGGGCGAAAACAAGGCTCAGATCCAGTTAACAACTCAGTTATCGTGCGGGAAAAATTAACTTCTGTGTTTGGGGAAAACAAAATTATTCCCTTTGTGGGCAGGAGTTCCCATACCCATTAGAAACCATTCTTAACAGGAAAACCAAGTAAATCCAGAAGTGATGTATTCTGAGAGCTCCCTTCCAGCTAGGAGATAACCATTACTCACTAAACATTGACGGCTTTGCTCCCTCTCTCTCTATCTCCCACCCATTACCATTGTGGAAAATGACTGCGGTTGGTAAGATTGAAAATGTGAGCGAGGTGCGTTTCCCCTGTATCCAACAGGAGCCACCAAGAGCACTTCACAGGCGCTCTGTGTGCTGTAGCTCTACGCAGAATGACGTGTCTTCTGAGACTGAAGAATTTGCCGCATTGACTGATGATGCCTTGGGGACCCAGCCATCCAGTCGGATTATTATTCCTGTTTCTAATTTGCTTTCTAAAATCTGTTCCCTCTAGGGATTGCTTGTCTCCCGGGCCTTTCTAGAAATGGTTACAAACAGAATTGTTCCTGCCTCTGCCTATGCGGTAGGAGCAGGACCTCAGGCAATGCCCCCCCTAACACAGCAGGTGTTACCTCCTGCTCCAGATTGCCGCAACCTCCATCTGGGGGGCTGTCTCTTCCCGTCACTCAAGATGATCCCCACCCACCAAGCCTCTTTTCTCTGCTCAGGTCACATCCGTGGAACTGGTGAGATTCCCTGATGACAGCCGGCGACCACAGTGGGTTGTGGAGTTAACACCTCGGAGGTTGCAGAGTTTCCTTAGCAGAGCTGTGGAGTGTGACAATGGTGTTTGTGTCCAAACTATCAAACGCCATTATCACACTAAATAGCTACTGCTAGGCCATCCTTCTGCTCAGTAACCACCTTGACATCTGTTGTCGGTCCTGCTGGACAAGGTGCATCTACCTGAGTGCTCCCCTCCTGTGTAATTCCTGGATAAAGTCTCATCGCCTCGTGCTCATCCCCAGTGCAGCTCCTTGAGCCTTCTCCTCCTCACATGCCATTGTTAAACATTTAGCAGATGTAAATTCTTGTTTTCTGGACTCAACAAAGATAGCCGAGCACCCAGCACCAGGCTATAAGCACCTGAGAATCATTCAGCCCGTGTTTATTGAGTTGAAATGAAAAGTTAGAGAAGTGTTTGACTCAGAAAACCAGAGCGGGGTTAAATCTAACTTACGCAAACCACAGGTGTACAGGTACAACATTAAGGTGCATCATCATTTAAGAAATTTGACTTTCTAATAAACTTACCCATGGCTCACCTGGTCTTTCAGAACTCTAGAACATTTTTGATTTCTACTGATTTACAGTGGGAAAATGCCACCTAATTCCCAGGTTGATGGCTGACTTTGTATGCTAGTTCTTTCTTCTTTATGTTTCAACAAATTATCCTCAGACAATTGTAAGTGAACTACATGTGCGCGGCCACAGCAAATTTGCACATTTTAAGCCTGGGCAGTCTCTGGGTCAGCTGGGTCAGCGGGGTGGTCAACTCTGATACACACCCCCTCTGAGAGGTATGTCAACAGTACGTTCTCTGTGTGCCGAGTTAATACTTCTCTCCTATGGCTTGGCCAAGTGAATCAGTACAAAGTTAATCAAATTAACAGGGCTGGATCAACCATCAGAACCAAGTTCAGGCAATCATTGCACCATGCACCTAGCAAATAAATATGAAAGAGTGACTCCCATGCGCCTGGCCCTGTCCTAGGCCTCGAGGATACATTTTAAAAGGAAATGTGTCTGATGTTATTTCCAGGGATGGACAGCCCTTGGTTCACATTCCACTGGGGGCCGTTCTCATCATTCCAGTTACATTTGTTAGGGAACCCAGCGAGCAAAGCTTCATGATAAACCCAAGGCCCTTGCTGAAAAGCACCACTTCCTGCAGCCCACAGGGCTGTGACACTCTGCTAAGCCTCCCAGGTCAAAAGAGGCTTCTGCCCAGAGAGGAAGTACCTGCCTTCCTACGCCGCGTCCCCTCCTACCTGCACTTCTTCCTGCCCACGCCCTGCTGTCCAGAGGAAGACCAAAGCCCCTGAAGGAATTAACACACCGCCATCCCTTTCAGTGTGTGCTGCTCTCGGGAACAGGGACTGAGGAAATGGGCATTGACAGAGGGCTCCACTGCTGCACCAACCACTTCCACGTGTACTGTTTCATTTCAGCCACGTGACACAGGATAAAGGTGACGGGCTCTGCACCCCTCCCGCAGATGGCAAACTAGAACGCTGAATGGTTCTGGAACCCGGTGTTTCTGCAGCCATAACTCAACAAGGGTCTCTTAAACCTCAAAGTTCTGTTCTTCACCTGTAGCCTTCCTTGGCCTGGTTCTTCCAAAACCACCTCACGAGTCTGTAGACACTGGGCAGTCACCCCACTATCTGATCCATATCTCCCCATCTGCTTATGGGGAAAACTTACAAATGGCAGGGAGCTGAGTCATGGATCAACCTCTCCCTGAGTGTGTAGCAAACGCCATCATTGCCAGGTGGATGGAAAGAGAACAAACATTGAAGTGGCAGTGACTTGGGGACGAGGGAGGGGGTGGCCAGACATGGAGCAGCCGCCTTGGTGACCGGCACAGAGTGCCCTCCAGCCCTCCCAGCTGTCCCCACACTCAGGACACCGTCTAGGACTCAGGACTTGGTGGTGTGGGGACAGTTGGGAGGGCTGGAGGGCACTCTGTGCCGCGGAGAGAGCGTGAACTAGCCGTGCGTCGATGGCTCATCCGCACCTCTCCGATCGCTCCCTAAACCTGTGCTCTCCACTGGCCTGTTTCCTTGAATCAGAAGACGACAGGGCGGTCGACCTAGCGACCAGTGAACTCTCCGTTCTGAGGAGGAAAGTGAGCCCATTTGTTCGACGTGGGACCATGTTCCCGCCCTGCCGCCCTCCACATCATCAGCCGCGCACTGGGCAGACCTGGGCTGGGAGGTTACCGGGTGCCAGGCATTGTACTGGGCTCTGGGAATGCAACTCAGCCTGAGGCCAGGTCAAGTGCCTAAGCTGCTGTCAGTCTCGGAGCAGGAGAGATGTGTAGACCAAGACATCTCCACCTCAGTGTGCAGGGGCTAGCACAGAGGCGTAGACAGGCTGCCCTGCATTTCTTTCCAGACCCTGAGGCTTTGACGTTGTGCCCTTCTTTGTTACTGTTGGGGGACTTAGTCCCTCTTGTTGATGTTGGGGAGTCAGTTGCCAATGGAGCACGGATACGGGGCATTTCTTAGTTTGGGGCAGGAAGACTGTAACATGAAAATCTTGCTGCTTTTTCTAGGCTACTTGCCAGCATGCTGAGTAGCACAGCATTTGTCGTGGGGCAAGAGGATGCACTGGTGGTGCACTTGTCAGTTACCTGTGCCAGGGATTTTCATTTCTCTGGGAGGAGTGTGGGCGGGTTGTTCCCCCCAGGGCAGGCTGGGTCAATAATGAACTTGCAATGTTAAACCACTGGGGCATTCCCGCCATCGCTGCCTCTTCCCCAGTCGCAAAAAGCCTGCGCAAGGCTCCCAGATGGAGTCCTCCCTGGGGTTCAGCTGCCTCTCCCTGGGGGCAAGCTCCAGGAAGCTGCTGGGTGCAGACCTGTGGCAGGAGCGCCCCGGCCGGTGTGGAGTAGAGGAATGGGGGTGGTCACTTCCTTCTCTTTGGTAACCAAGCTTCCTTCTTGGTCTTGTGGACAACAGGCAGTGTCTGCTCTGGTTTGGATATGGTATACTCCCTCTACGTGGCCCCCATGTGGCAGGGTTGAGAGGTGGGGGAGCCCAACGGGAGGTGATTGGGTTCCTGGGGACCCTGCTCTCAGCAGGGATTAATGTAGTCCCCCTGGGACCACAGCCAGTTCCTGCGGGGGGGGGGGGGAGGGCTGTTACCACAGGAGCAAGACTGGCTCTGCCCCCAGTCTCTGGCTTCCTGTCTCTTGTGACACTGCTCTGTCCCTCCGTGATGTCACCCCCCCAACCGCATGCTGAGATGTGACAAGTAGGTCCTCACCAGAAGTCAAAAACAGATAGGGCCACCTGCTCCTGGACTATGTGAACTAAATAAACCTCCCATCTTACAAATGACCCAGCTTCAGGCATTTTGTGATGACGACAGCAAATGGATGAATATGGAATCCAAAACGCACGTAGGCTCAAAACACAGAGATGTCTGCTAGACTATCCAGAGACAGACCTCAAGACAGCTTCATTTAGAACACAGGGCCGCCATGTGCACTCTGGGAACAGGCTTATGAGACACGTTTACTGCAAACTTAAAATATTTAAACACCGTGCCTGGGAGGGCACTGACTCGTTCACTCATTCAGTCATCATTCAAGCATGCATTCCCATTCCACGCCAGGCAGTAGGCTAGCCACTGAGAATTCTAAAGTGAGATGCTCTCTCCAGGCACCCCTGTGGCCAGTCCAGTGAGGACATGGACTGGCAAACGGGCAGTCCCTATGGTGAGGTGCAGGCTCTTTGACGTAGGTGTGCCAGGTCAGAAAGAATATGAGGGGCGGGCCTTTGGGGCAGCGGGTAAGACGCTGCTTCTAACATGGCTTCCCAGGTCAGAGTGTCTGAGTTCATGTCTGAGCTCTGCTCCCCATCCCAGCTTCCTGCAAATGTGCACCCTGGGAGGCAGCAGGCGACGGCTCAAGTACTTGGGTCCCTGCTACGCACACGGGGAGACCTGGACTGAGTTTGGGACTGCTGCTTATTACAGGCATGTGAGGTGTGAATCAGAGGATGGAAGATCTTTGACTCATCTCTCTGCCTTTCAAATAAAATGAAAATAATTGTTTCAGAGAGAGAATAATAGAATAATAGAGGAAGACAGCCTCACTTCTGTGCTGCCGGAAGCCATGCAATGCAAGAATTCTGTGATCTCAGCAGTGAAGTGGGGAAGTTTCACCTTGACAAAAGCATTCCCTGGCAACTCCCCCGCAGAGAGCAACTGAACTCTGAGCCTGGAGTTTATCTGGCGGGGCTTTTCCCCTCTCAAAAATGCAGCCAAACACTCACCGAAATAGATGCCCGTTAGCAAAAGAAGTGTACTGTGTTACTGGTCAAATGCCTGAGGGCAGATGTGTGCGTGTGCGCAGCTGTGTGTGTATGTGTGTGTACATTGAGGAAGAATTGTCATTTCTCAAAAGAACTGGTTAAAATGTCTTTAAAGTCTCATCCAATTGGTACTTTGTTTTCTTCTATTTTAAAAAATAAGCTTATCTTTTAATTTCATTTTCCCACAAATTTAACAAATTTATTGTTATTGAAAAGGCAGAGAGAGACAGTGGTCTTTCATCTGCTGGTTCATCCTCCGAGTGCCTGCAACAGGTGAGGCTGGGCCAGGCCGAAGCTGAGAGCCACGGACTCTATCCGGGCATCCTACTTGAGCCATCAGCTACTGCCTTCCAGGGTGCATGTCAGCAGGAGGATTGGAAACAGAGCTGGAACTCAAACCTTGGCATTCTGATATGGGATGCAGGCATTTAAAGCCGTTGTCTCAACCACTGTGCCACACGGCCACCCCTCCTCTTTGAACCGGGGAGAACTATGGTCTCCAACATGGGCAGCAGTGAACATCCTCCTAGTCACCGTGGCTTGGGACACTGCCCCCTAGCTGTAGGCTGTGCCCCTGCACTTCATAACAGTGGTTGGAAAGGATTTCAGGACAGGAGTGGAAGAGGCGGTCCTGTTGAGTGCCTGTTGGCCCACTAAATGCCCAGACAAGAACTGATCTTGTTCTCCCCGAGAGTAAGCCCTTTCCTTTTCATTTCCTGGCACATTTAACACAGTCAAGAGTTCATGAAAGTCCTTCTTGTTTCCCATTTTCCCTGTAGCACATCCTGTCCTGCCTTTCTGCTTAGCTTCAAATTGCAGCTGGATACAATGAATCCAGCCTTTCCCCTACCTGTGAGGGTGTGCCTGTTGTATTTCTGGTCCCTCATACCGAACACTGCACTGGAGATTTTTCTGGTCTCTCCTGTGTCTCTGCATGAGTTCAGGAGGTGTCAGACTGAAGCTTTATCTCAGAAGTTAGCAGCAGTGATTCCCAGGTTTGGGTGAAACATGGTCCCGGCAGCGCTGCGTGTCCTAAGGGGGGCAGATTAGCAGCAACCCCCCACATATAGATGCTGCATTAGGAAATTTTGTGTGCAAGATGCAACTTTTTTCCTTTGATTATCTCCAGTAACTCATTGCTATAGCAATACTTCTTTTAAGATTTATTTATTTATTTGACAGGCAGAGTTACACAGAGAGAGGAGAGGCAGAGAGAGAG